TAGCTAAAGACTTCCTTTCTTTTCGAGCAAGGTTCAGCAGCATCCATTGTACTTAGTTCTTGCTGTAACCCACGAGGTTTCACGTGTTTGAGCATGGCGCATGCGCAGTCCTATGGTCCTAGTCACATGGATTATTAGCGGGTGTGGTGATATCCATTAGTATGGCTCTACGTGGGCGTTACAGCTTATAATTTAAAAAATCTCTTTTTCACTAGAAAATGGGCTAAAACAATTGCCTACAAAATTGCTATAATAGTTCAATGTAAGCATAGGCGGCTGCAGGGGCAGGCAATGAGGGCAATGCCCTACTAGAATTTCTTACCGGAAGATGACATCATCATAATTAGCAGTTAATTAATAATTATTTAGTAGTTATTACATGGAATATAGCTATTTTAATGACAAAAACTACATTATTTTGCTAAACAAAGTGATAATTAGTGGAGAACAAGCTGCTAACTGCATGGTTTATTCACAGTAAGCTTCATAGGTCTATATCTATGGTCACTTCAGGAAGGCATAATCTACAGTAACCTGCAGCTAGAATAACTGACTCCATCATAAAAGCAGCTTCATTATTAATTATCATAGTCAGCTAGGACTCATTGAACAGCTAAATCACCCAGCTACTGATACTCTATCATTGATAGAGGTCTTTTAGGTACTGAATTTTCTCCTTTTGAACACAAGAATGGCAGATTAACTCTTCATTGAGAATTTCAGAGCCTTTTCTACTTGATTTCTTCACAAAATGCTGAAATAGAAGTCTTAACAGTCTTAAAACTCAAGAACAAGACACGTGGGTGTGGTCATGGCCACACCTACATTTTGACCACTCCCACTTTTAGCCACACCTTTGCCCTACTTGCAGTGAAATCCTGCAGCCGCCTATGAATGTAAGGAGAGCAAACTAATAATAATAATAATAATAATAATAATAATAATTCTCATTCATAGTTGACATGCTTAAATATCATGGTAGGCAAGCCTTTTGGAGATATTTCAGAAAGTTTAAATACAGCTAAATTCTTGCTACCATGCTCTTTCTCTTCCAGGCTACACTTGGTAATACTATGCTACTATGGTGATATGCACATATGTACATGTACATGTAATGTATACATTTATGTACTATACTTTTTTTACATCCCATTCCTTTTTAGATTTACACCAATAACTGCTAACAAAGGTACATCAATTCTTACATAGAATGTTGATAAAGGCTCTAAATGTATAAAAGTACTTCAAAGTACTACAAATGCTTCTTATTAATTAGTAACAAGTATTTACAACTTACAAGTACTTTTAAATGCACGCAAGAACAAGTACCAAATTACATGTACATTGTCCAATCCCTGATGTACAAGTAGTAATGATGATGATGATGATACTAATTTTAGTAGCTTGATTTGTGCATTCTATTTTTAGCAACATTATAATACTGCTCCTTTCATATAATCTCTAATTTCCCTCCCTCCCTCCCTCTCACCGTGCAGTAGCCTCCTGGGAGTTAGTTGTTATTTCAATTGCCAGTTGAACTGATTTCTGAAGAGCATCCCTAGTCCTTTGATCAACAGGTTCCACTGACTGAATGTCAATGCTAGTTATCACAAGGTTATTAGTTGAAAATGAAAAGCGATCCTTCATTTTTCCTTTCTCATTCAGACCAAAGACAGAGGAACGAATAATCCTGGCAGAGTTCTAATGAAAGAAAAATACATGTACAGTGATTGAGTCTACATGTACTTTTACAAAAGGCATGTAATCTTGACCCCAGGCCTGCTCTTTTCCATTGCCTCCCTCTTTCTCCCTCCTCCCCCTCTCTCTCTCTCTCTCCCCCTCCATCTCTTACTCTGATACACATATTAATATCAATCCAAAGAATATAGCACAGCCAACAAACTCAAGTGCCATTGTAATATTACATCCAACGATTTCAATTATAACCAGCGTAATTATAATACCTACAAATAATGTACAACAAACATTGAATTAAATCACTCATCAATTGAGATCATTAATTAAGGGGTTTTACCAGGAAACTCTGCAACTGAAGTCCAAATAATTTTCAAGTAAAAGGAACTTGTGAGGTTTTGAAAGCCGGAGTTTAATGACTGATTGACACTTCCTGTAATAGGAAAATAGCAGAGTACATGTACATGTATATTGACATTTGACATACAGTTGTATATGTACATGTACATGTGTACATGTATTTTTACCACAGTGAGGATCGTATCCAGTCTCAAGGATTGTCGTAGTAATTAGAATAGCTCTGTAATACAACCAGGCACAACCCAACCTATTAGTAAATTATCAGTAAACCCCAGTAAATTATCAGTAAATTATTAGTAAACCCCAGTATATCTTACCAAATGATTATGAGGAGTATTGAGGTTTTCCACATTCCGCCAGAGAAAAGGAGACGGAAGTCCTGGCCAGACTTCAGAGCTGTTTCCATAACTTTTAAATATGAAATAAATAATAATAATAAATTTTAAAAACTCATTCAATCTCTGACTAGGGTTTGGTGGATTATGCTATGCTGCAATTCTCAGGAAACAGCTCTATTATGCTCTACCAAACAGCCATTATGCTCCCAATTATGCCCATGAATTTCATTATGATAACTTAGCCCCACCCAAAAATGTGAGCCAGTAATTCAATTATGAAGTTCTTGAAAGTATTGTGAGCAATAGTAGCTGTTTAAACATAAAAACAGTTAATTTATTCAGTGTAAGTGCCTGTTTATTGCATTTCTGAATGCATTTTTTCAAAATTTTCTTTTATAGCTCTATTATGCTTATATGCTTATGCTTTTGGGCCCTATTATGCTTAAAATTATCCTGACATAATCCGCCAAGGCCTATCTCTGACTCTCCTTGCTCCTCCACTCACTCTCTCTTTCTATACTGAAGATCGAGCTCCAGTCAAAAAACAGCAAACATTACAAATTATTTTTACCAAAATTGAGTTACTGTTAAAAGTTACTTCGGCTTTCATTGTGCTACAGTTTCAAGTAAATCTGAGAGCAGTTTCACATGAAAAACACTTTACATTAACATACATGTACATGTACATGATAATATACTAGCTGTGCTTACATTAATTGTACATGTATCTCAATTTATAACACTAATTTCTTGAAAGATATTGAAAATGTTTTAGTGCTCTTCCTACCAGAGCTCTTCATTTTTATTACTTTAATTTTGTCCCATAAAGAGTGAAACTCTCTTGTGCCGTCTCTACCAGCAGCTTCATCCTCTTCAGTGTATCTGGTGGGGAGATGAGGTCCCATTCAGTAACAGCTCCTGATCATCATTAGTATTCCCAATGAATGAAAACTCTACAATAATGATAAAAATAAAAATAAAAATAAAAATAATAATAATAATAATAATGGTTAGATGTACATGTGCATGTATGTGGTACATGTACAACTTTTTTCAAGTTACGCCATTTTAAGAAAATGGCAAAGTTCTGAAAAATACCCAAGGCTATAGCCCTTGGTTTTTTCCAAAAAAATGGTTCCAAGATCAACCTAAATTTTGATTAAATTTTCTGATACATATTGAAGTCCTTATGCTGTGTAGAAAGTTTGAGGTGATTCCAACGTCAATTTTTCGAGTTACGGCCATTTTAAGAAAATGCCAAAATTCTGAAAAATACCCAAGGCTATAGCCCATGGTTTTTTACAAAAAATGGCTCCAAAATCACCCCAAATTTTTATTACACTTTCTGATGCATATTGATGTCCTTATGCTGTGTAGCAAGTTTAAGCTGATCCCGACTTCAATTTTTCAAGTTACGGCCATTTTAAAAGTAGCAAATTTTTGGAAAAAGATCTATATACTGTACTTGTAGTACATGTACAATATATGGTCCTGCCTGAAGAGATGGAGCCATGTAGACTCAATTTATATAGATCAATTGAGTCTAAAAATAACAATATAGTCATTGTTGCTAATTTTTAGCATTACGACTGTCTAAAATATGTGATACAGCACATTAAAGGTATATACATGTCATGTACATGTGGAATGCTCATATCACCTGCTCTTAGTATTGGCTTATTGTTAGTGTGTTCAGAATCAGCTGCTGCTGCTGCCTTTACTTCTTGTTCTTCTATCAGCTCTTTTTCCTCTTGAGAGACTAATCGACCCTAAAAGAGTAGCAATAAATCCAGTATCTCCCTTCTCTCCTTCTCTTCTATCTTTGGAGGAGGTTTCAAGTTAATTCTGGCAATACTTTCTATGACTCTTTGTCCTTTGTCGTTGTGTCCTTTCGAAATATGGAATTTTGCTGACTCAGAAACAAACTAAATGCATAATGTACTGTAGATCACCTTGATATTTATATCTTCTTTTGTTGTTCTTGGATGGGTTGATGCAATTGTGGAGACACTTGAGAATCTGGAAACTTTGGTTTAACAATCAAGTATCAATCGTACATCTTTTTTTTGTTACACTGGTAATGAAGATATTGAGTAACACTACAATGTGAGGAAATGTAATTTCATATTATAAATTTTAGTAATTTGCTATTACTTATAAATACATATTACAGAGGGTTCATTCTGATAACAGATTTCTGGTGATTGGTGGATTTGTCATAGGTTGTATAGGAACAGGAGATTGGCAGTCTATAAGAGGAGATCCATGTAATGCTGTCAATTCTGATCTACAATGTAACACAACGGAGTTTGGATCAGGAATGATGGATAATAATTGTATTTTACAGGAGAAGGGGCAGTTTTGTGATTTTCTTGACAACTCTTAATTCATTAACCGAATGCTGTAATTCAACAAGTACATCAACTGCTGGTTGTATATGTGAATCATTATCTGATGTACCAAATTATAACTGCTATTGGAACCCAAACAGCATCATAACAGGAGAATATTGTGAATGATGTCGGCCTGTCTGTCTTAGTCGCTCTCACACACTCTCCTTCATTCAATTTGTGATTGGTGTATCTACCATATCAGGAAGCATAGGATTCAACAGAATTATATTAACTTTAGTGGTATCTGACTTAATAGGAAAATCAAAGCAGGTAATGGAGAATGTGATTGCATTCCATTTATATTAGCTGCATTTATTGCTAGAATTTTTGATTTACTCTAGCTTTTAGGGCTCTGGCTGGCTAATGGGGTTAATGATTCTATCAGGTGGGCTGTACAGGACCTTTATGGAATAAGCACTACTATACAAGCTGTTTGTT